TAAAATCTTAAAAAAAAAGAAAAGAAAAGAAATGGTCAGGAGTTGCCTTAGCGGCCAGAATGGGAAGTTTTAGAGGTGGGGAAGGAGTGGGTGAGGAGAAGGGAAGGAGAACAGGGAGCAGACCATGATCTCATCTTTCATGTCATGCTGAGAGGTTCGACTTCTATTCGCAAAGTAGCAGAGCTCTCCAAGCCCTCCTGAAAAGCCGTGTGTAAATCCTTTCGTGTTTCAAACATTTTACAGAAATGCCCAGGAGATTCTGAAATGCAAAAAACAATATTGGAGATATTTTTGGAAATAAAAAATTATTTTATATTGTCAATCATTCAGTTTTACTTTTTTTTTTTCATTTCAAATTTGAAAATATATCCTATCCCCCGCCTTAAAGTGAAGTGTCCTAATTATAAGACCCCTACCCTCACATGGTCTTCGTGACATCAGTGGGCCATCCGATTACACATGCATGGGGTCATAGCTCTTGGATGAATTGATTCAATCTCAACACATAATAGTTTAACATAGGAATGCAACCTAAGAAGGTTAGGAGGGCTGTAGGAAGCACCTGGTCCAATGTCGCCTCACTTTTTGGAGAAAAAAGATAAAACGAGGCAATATATACATGACTCAGAGCTACATGGCTGGTGAGAGGCAAATGATGAGGCTCAGATTCAAGTTTTCAAATTCCAAATTCAATGTTCACATAGTCAGCTATCATTAAACAACCATTGTCTGTTCCTTTTTCTCCCCCTTAATCCATATTTTTTTAACATTTCTTGAGGGATGGGTACAAATAAAACTTAATTCTAAATATTTTAAAATTTCCTATTATAGAAGTTCTTGTAAGAAAAAAATATTTGAGGAGAAATAATTACTCAAAATGGTTAAAGCTCTTAAATTCCACATATGAGCGAAATCATAAGGCACTTGATATAATGAGCACTGGGTGTTCTATGCAGCTGATGAATCACTAAATTCTACCTCTGAAACTAATAATACACTGTATGTTAATTAAATTGAATTTAAATAAAAAATTTTTTTAAATAAATACCCAAAAAAATGGTTAAAGCTCACGATCTATGATACAATTCAGTCACACACATTTCACATCACCTGGCTCTCTGTCCAGAAAGAAACTTTCCAGCAATTTATGGATTTTGAAAACATGAACTACCTCACTAAAGGGTATTAAAATATCCTTCCATAAAGTCAAGTTCCACCAAATAAGAAAAGAGTTTTTAAAACAGGGTGACTTCTGGGGTGCCTGGGTGGCTCAGTCGTTAAGCGTCTGCCTTCGGCTTCAGGTCATGATCCCAGTATCCTGGGATCGAGCCCCACATCGGGCTCCCTGCTCTGCGGGAAGCCTGTTTCTCCCTCTCCCACTGCCACTGCTTGTGTTGCCTCTCTCGCTGTGTCCCTCTCAGTCAAATTAATTAATTAATTAATATAAAAAAAACAGGGTGACTTCTCTGAGTGCCTTACTCACAAGGCAACCAAAAGGATGAATGTTCCAGGCACTGTTCTGAGGACCGTGCATGCATTAACTCATTTATCCTTACAACAACCCTGTGAGGCATTGCTCTTATCATGGTTCTAGTAGGGAAACTGAGGCACAGTGATCCCTGTTCTGCTAAGAGGCAGAGATTGAACCAGGCAGTCTGGCTCCTGAGCTATTTGCTGAACCTCCCATGCAAGCCACTCGATAATGTCTTATTACCAATTCCACTGCAACTTCGTTGCTTCGGGGGAGTTGGTCCTTTGTGGTGTTTCAACTTTATCTTTTCTTTTTCCCCTTATGCTGTAGGGGATGGAAGTGAGAAACACCCTTGCCCAGATGCCCCTAGCAGCAGGGATCCAGCTGGGCTTTTCCAGGGGGAGGCCAGGCATATGCCACCCAGATGCCAAAGGCAGGTTCCAGCCATCTGCAGCAGCAAAGGGAGCGTCAGCATCTGCAGAGACAAGCAACAGGCAGACTCCATAGTGACAGCGCGGTGGACACCAATGGGGGCATCAGCACATTCATTTACGCCCTGGTCTCTGGGCACCAACACCTCCCCCCCATTATGCACCTCCAGCCCTTCTTAGTTGAAAACCAATTTCCTTCATATAATCCCTCTCTGCTTGAAATATGTAGGTCAATGCTTTTTTTTCTGGACTACTGATTGATTCTGACACCTTACTTAAACGTATTACATTTCCCTGTCTTCTGAAATGAATATAATGAACTTGTGTACCCTCGACTTGACAAATCACAATGCTGTAACAGCGAGGTCCCTGGGACCTATCTCAGGAGCACGCACATCTGCCGCCCCGCTTCCCAACATCACTTTGTAATGATGGGAGAAAAACTTATTTTTCAATTTATGAGCTATAATAAAATTGGAAGGCAAGAAATGGTGCCCCCTGCAGACCAGAGTGTTAGAAGAATTTTAGGAAGGGAAAAAGCAGCTGGAGCCTAATGGGTGAAGAAATCAGGGCAGAGGGTAAAGGCGTTTTTCCTAAGGGAGGCCTGGAGAAGCCCTCTGATGGGCATCAGTAGGTACAGAGAGCAGGAGCAAGCCATTCTTGGGCATCTGAGCCGCATCCAGAACCACTGGGGAAACCCAAGTTCTCCCCTCTGTGTACATACATTTCCTAGCAGTAAAGGCACTCCCAAGAAAGGGCAGGACCCCAGCTGAGGTCCTTGGTGAGAGAAGCAGAGCAGAGCAGACAGACACAGGGAGGATGCAGGACAGAAAGGGGAGTTGCTCAGCCAAGGACTGGGATACGGCAAAACAGAGCCCTTCTTGCCATGGTGCCCCGGGGGCAGCTCCCTGACCTGCACCGCGCAGGGGACCTCTGCCAACATGGGCTTCACTTCCGGTTCACACACAAGCTGCCATCAGAAGACCCAGCCCTGGGGGACAGAGGCTCACAGCAGGGGGACTGACACTGGCCAGGATGGTCCTTCCTTAAGAAATACACACGGCAACAAATGGTCACCAGATATTTGAGGAAGATGGACAGAAAGTTGAAGGACAACTGATCCTGAAGGAACCAGAGGTGATTTGGAACACTCAAGAAAAACACAGAATAAATCCTAAATTTAATGTTTAACTTTTAAAATCTGTACTATCTTTGCATGATTCAAAAATCAAAGAAAAGTAAGAAGGGATACATTGAGAAGTTTTGCTCCCACCCTTGCCTTTCAGCCATACTTTATGTGCAAAGGCAAGAAAATATGAAAAACATATACTTATTTTCCTTCCCATCTTACACAGAACATGGCATGCTACCTGCATTAACAAAGCAGGTGGCTTCAGCAACAGAAACATACTGTCTCCATTCTGGAGTCTAGAAGTCCAAAATCAAGGTGGGCCGGGAGGGAAGGGTCTATTCCAGCCCTCTCTCCTTGGCCTGTAGAAGGCTGTCTTCTTGTTCATAAGGTGCTCTTCCTATATGCATGTCTGTCTCCAGATTTCCCCTTTTTATAAGGACACCAGTTGTATTGGGTTAGGCTCATCCCAATGACCTCACCTGCACTCAGTTACCTCTTTAAAGACCCTATCCTCAAATAAGGTGACAGAGATCCTGAGGGTTAGGACATCAACATACAAATTTTGAGGGGACACAATTCAACCCCTGTCACTACAATACCATTCTACTTTTTTTCACGTACTAATATGCCCCTGAAGACTTTCCCACATCAATACATAGAGCGTTTTTTTCATTTTTTCATGGCTATACATTACTTCGTTCAGAGAATTACTGTGGTGTACCTGATCACTCCTTCATACTTGAATACCTGGGTTGCTTTTTCAATCTGCCACAATTATAAACTAGGCTTCACTTCGTAAGTGTGTTAGGTGTGTCTATATGATCTGATCATAGCCATAGGGTTGCTTGGCCAAAGGGTAAAGGCATTCATAATCCTGAGAGATATTGCCAAAAGGCTCTTCTTGGGGGCTATGCCATTTTGCACTTCCCCCAACATTGTATGAGAGGGCTTGTTTCCCTCAGAGCCTTGCCAACAGGCTATGTTGGTAATCTCTGGAATTTTTGCCTATCCCATAGTTAAGAGATGCTTTCTTCATACAGTTTCATTCTTATTTCTCTTACTAGTAAGGTTAAGCATATTTCATCTATTTTAGGGCCATTTGGATTTTTTTTTGGTTTGCGAATTCGCAATTTTTTATTGGGTTATTACCTCATTTTGCTCTAGATTCCTAGCCATGTCACACATTAACCAGATTAATCCTGTGTCTGCGATGTATGATGAAAGTATTTCCACAAATTTATCATCTGTCTTTTCACTTTGCTTTTTAAACTTTTCATTTGGAAAATTTCAAACACTGACATAGGTAGAGAGATTATATGGTGAACCGCACATACCCATCACTCAAATGCACCCATTACTAATGTGCGGCAAATTTTCCTCTGTCTGTAATCCCACTGATTCCCATCCCAGATTATTTTATTTAAAAAAAAGATTTATTTATTTATTTTAGAGAAACAGAGAGAGCATGAATAGGAGGGGCAGAGGGAGAGAGAGAGAATCTCAAGCAGACTCCCTGCTGAGCACAGAGCCCAATGTGGGGCTCGATCTCACTACACTGAGATCATGACCTGAGATGAAATCAAGAGTCAGACGCTTAAACCAACTACGCCACCCAGGCACCCCCCCATCCCAGATTATTTTAAACACATCCCACCCATCATAGCCTTCATCCGTAAATAACCCAATCCATAAAAGATTCTGCTTGTATCTCTTAAAAAAAAACAAAACTTAATCCCAATACCATTATCACATATACAAAATTAAAGTTTCCTTAATATCATCAGATAACCAATTGGTGTTCAAATTTCCTGAACATACATTATAATTAGTTAATATGTCTCTTAAGTCACTTCTATTTTTTATTTTATTTTTTTAAAGATTTTATTTATTTATTTGACAGAGAGCGAGGGAACACAAGCAGGGGGAGTGGGAGAGGGAGAAGCAGGCTTCCCACTGAGCAGGGAGCCCGATGCGGGGCTCCATCCCAGAACCCTGGGATCATGACCTGAGCCGAAGGCAGATGCTTAATGGCTGAGCTACCCGGGCGCCCCTCTTAAGTCCCTTTTAATCTATAGGTTCAGCCTCTGTCACAGTTTCTTCTTTCCTTTGAAATGAATTTTTGAAGAATCAATTGGGTTGTCAGTCTGGCAAAAACCCCACCGTCTGGATTTTGCTGAGTGTGTCTCTGTGGTGTCTCTGCATATGTTCCTCTGTTGTCTGTACTTCTGTAAACCGGTAGCTAGATTTAGAGGCACTGTCAGATTTTGATTTGATTTTGGCCAGGGACTGGGGGGGACAAGACGACTTCATAGGAGGTGTTGTGAACTTCCTTCAAGAGGCGCTTCATGTCAGGTTGTCCCTCTTTTTGTGATGTTGGCAGCTGTTGATGATCATTGCTGAAATCCACTGGTATGTTCAATGTTGCAAAACGATGCCTTCCAGATTCTAGCACCCCTTCTTCATTTATTTTCTGGAATACACCTATAACGAGAAACTCATCATCTCTTCACTTAACTAGAAGAGGAGTTTATGTGACAGAGGCAAAGTAAGTGTCTGTCTCTTTTCCTCTACTGTCACTTTAAAAAAATAATGACTGGTTCCCTAGGACACTCCAAAGGAGGATAGTATGTGCTTGCTATTATGAACTCATTTCTTTTAACATATGTTGTGTTTCTATCCATCATAGTTATTCTCCCTCTCGATGCTCCATTTGTCCCATCTTTGGCCTGTGGGAGCCTCTCCAGGTTGGCTCCTGAGCGCTCCAGACACAACCTCAGTCCTCATTATGACTTCCCCTGCTGTTCAGTCTAATGAGCTGTTGCGGTTCATCTTGCATATTTCTTGCTCCAGACCTGGAATCAGCTTTTCCTCCAAGAAGCCTGCTTTCTTTTTTGTGAGAATGGTATTTAGAGACCAGAGTACGGACATACTTATGAAATAATCTAGTCCATGTACTGTACACAGCATTATTTTCT